AGGAGCAGATGAAAGACAAACCCCCTGTAAGTACCTGTTTAGCTCCTACTCCTTTTTCGTGTTGTGTCTCCTCTCTCTCGGAATTAGGGAACTGGTGGAGCTGAGGCAGAACAAAAAGGCACAAATCTGGGTGGTTTGCCAGCAGGAAAAGGTTGGAAAATAACAGCAAGCAAAGAGATGCATCCAGTAGGATCTGGAAGGCAGCAGGAGTCATCCCACTGGGATCCTGTGGTTCCACGCCAGGAACTGGTTGAGGTCCTGAGGAAGTGGGAATTTGGTGGATATCCTAATCCACACCCTGGGAAAAAATTTCCTCAGCAAGAGTCATCCCACTGGGTGGGTCCACCAGGGTCCTGAGGAAGTGGGAAGCTGGTGGAAGTCCTAATCCACACCCTGGGAAAAAATTTCCTCATGATTTTTCCCACTCTCAGCTGCAAAAAATCATCTAAAATCCGAGTGAGTCAGAGTCAAATTTGATGTTAAACCCATACAACTAATTTAGGCCCCACTGCTAAGCTCAGCTTTGCAAGGATGCACCTGAGACTGGGTCCCACTGGGTCCACCAGGGTCCTGAGGAAGTGGGAAGCTGGTGATGTCCTAATCCACACCCTGGGAAACATTCCCCCAAAACCCAGACTCGACCTCCCTTCCTCTGACAGGAGGTGACACCAAGCTGCCCCTGAGCCAGAGGTGAGTCCTGGGGACATGAGGAGGAACATTCCCAGCAGGTCAGGGAGGGGATCCTGCCCCTCTGCTCGGCCCTGGGAGGCACATCTGGGGTGCTTTGTCCAGCTCGGGGCTCCTCAGGACAGGAAGGAGCTCCTGGAGCAGGTCCAGGGGAGGGTGATGAAGCTGATGAAGGGATGGAGCATCTCTGAGGGAGCTGGGGCTGCTCAGCCTCCAGAGGGGACACCCAGAGGGGACCTCCCCAAGGGCTGGCAGGGCCTGCAGGGAGGGGGCAGAGGATGGCCCAGGCTCTGCTCGGGGGGGCCCAGCAATGGCACAGCAGGAACGGGCAGGAACTGATGCCCAGCAAGTGCCACCTGCACAGGAGGAAGAACTTCTTGGCTGGGCAGTGACCCAGCCCTGAGCAGATTGGCCAGAGAGGGGGGGAGTCTCCTCCCTGGGGATATTCCAGAGCCCTCTGCACACAATCCCTGTGCTCTGGGATGACCCTTGTGGGACCAGATAAGTCACTGTGGGCCCTTCCAGCCTGACCCATCCTGGGATTCTGTGATATTATTGCCTCCCTGCTGGAGAAAATAACAGCATCTCCTTCAAAACCTTGAAATGGAGACCAGGATAAACAATTCAGAGCTCACTGGATGAATACAAGAGTTTCTAGAACTGTGAAAGACTGGAAATAAAGTCTTCCAGGGCAAAATGTGGGACACATCACAGCTGCTGTGGAGTCATGTCAAGAGTCCTCCTGAACACTTGTTCCTCCAGTATCCCCTCCTGAACTGTGTGTGCTCCTGAGGATGGAGGAATAAAAAAAGGCTGAAAATTGCTTTTATTATCTGAAAAAGCATCATACAAGTCTCCTCAGGGCTGATAAAGCTCCCAAGAACAGAGGCAAGGAATTGTTTGCCTGTCCCAGATGTTATTTTTGGGTTTGCTGTTCGTAACTGGAGTGGATTTACCTCCAGAACTTTCCCTCTAAACCTCTTAATTTACTGGGAAAACCTCCACATGCGTATTTGTACCTGAAGGGGATTATTTGAAGGCACCTTCATCCTTCACCTTTCCATCCTTCACACATCACCACAACCCACCCAAAGCAGGACATAATAACCACCATGCTCAACTTGGCACAGGCAGATGGAAAAGGGAAAGCACACGGAAAAAAGGAGAATATAAATTAAAAGATAAAGGATCCAAGTGACCAGAAAACAAAGTGTTTTCTAGTTTTCACCCCAAATTAGTGCCAGAAAAGAGGAAAGCAGCTGCTTTTCCTCCTCATTCAGAAGAACCAGCACTCCACTCTTTCTAGAGTGGTTCTCATTCCCAGAGTGACAAAATCATAGGAATTTTAAGGTTGGAAAAGCTCTCTGAGATCATCCAGTGCCCCCTGTGCCTGATGCCCACCTTGTCCCCCAGCCCAGAGCACTGAGTGCCACAGCCAGGCCTCCAGGGCTGGGCACTCCAAACCTCCCTGGGCAGCCCCTGCCAAGACCTCACCACCCTTTCCAGGAGGAAATTCCTCCTCCTGTCCCACCTGAGCCTCCCCTGGCCCAGCTGGAGGCCGTTCCCTCTCCTCCTGTCCCTTGTTCCCTGGGAGCAGAGCCCGACCCCCCCTGGCTCCCCCCTCCTGTCAGGGGGTTGCAGAGCCAGAAGGTCCCCCCTGAGCCTCCTTTGCTCCAGGCTGAGCCCCCCCAGCTCCCTCAGCTGCTCCTGCTGCTCCAGCCCCTTCCCAGCTCCCTTCCCTTCCCTGCACACGCTCCAGACCCTCAGTGTCTCTCATGCTGAGGGCCCAGAAGTGCCCCCAGCACTGGAGGTGCCCCATCAGTGCCAGCACAGGGACAGTCCCTGCCCTTTTCCCACTGGACACACTATTCCTGATCCAAGCCAGCTCTCCTTGGCCTTCTTGGCCTCCTGGGCTCATGTCCAGTCACTGTCACCCTCCACCCCCAGGCTGAGATGGACAAACAAGGTGTCTGTGGGAAGCTGCCCCGGCACATGGGTCAGAAGGGCAGAGAAGGAACAAATCCCACCTCTGGAATCCCTTCTGATCCACCCTCACAGACCCACAGTGCCCAACGGCCACCACACCATAGAACCATAGAATCACAGAATCAGCTGGGTTGGAAGGGACCTCCAAGATCATCCAGTCCAACCCCTGATCCAACCCCGCCGTGGTTCCCAGCCCATGGCACTGATGCCACATCCAGTCTGTCCTTAAACACCTCCAGGGATGGAGAATCCACCCCTTCCCTGGGCAGCCCATTCCAAGGGCTGAGCACCCTCTCTGCAAAGAAATTCTTCCTAATCTCCAACCTAACCCTCCCCTGGCACAGCTGAAGACCGAGCCCTCTTGTCTTGCTGAGAGTTGCCTGGGAGAAGAGACCCATGTTCTGCAGCCCAAAGGCAGACAAACCCACCAGCAGGAGAAGCCCAGGTGAGACATCTCCAACCTTCCTGCAGCCTTGAATTTAGGCTAAAAGCTGTGCTGGAGCAGCAGCAAAACATCCCTGATGGAAGTTCTGCAGATCCCACCACGTGGGATCGAGGCCATAAATAATTTGTTACACAACAGAGCCCGGCAAAGCAAATCAGTTGATTATCAGCAACAAGGGTGTGTGTTTGCAGCAGCTCCTCCCCAGAGGCCCCAAAAGAGATCAGCTGTGCCCAGCACCGGGCGCCGGTGAAGAGCAGATCCCACAGAAGATCTGGGCAGCTCAAAGTGGGATAAATGAGGGCTACTTCGGGAAAAGTGAAGTTAAGCACCGACAACAGGCACGTGAAAGTCATTTAGTGACTGATCAGATACACAAACACAAAGGGAGGCTCGTTATTGCCCATTAACCACATTAAGAGCTTTCCCCTCCCGGCTCCCTGCTGGTTCCCAGCACTGCTGGTTCCAGAGGCAGCTCTGAAACAGGAGCCAGGCCTAAAAGAGTTAACTGAGATCTCTTGGCCTGCTGAGAAACCCCAATACCTGTGTTGCTGGAAGAACATTTTAGGAGCACTGGTTCATATCATGTTCTGTTCTGCTCACTGCACCAAAGGCCTTAGTATAGAAAGAATAGGAGTAGTACACACACAGTAATAAATTAGGAAAACCAGATGTTTGAATAAGATCTAGAAGGCCCAGAGCCAGGATTTTGCAAGCTTGAAGAATTCAGGTCACCTGATTGAAGAGGTCAAATTGAGGAAGACGTCCATGGTGACCACCAGAGGGATGAAGGATTGAGGAGAAGACCCCCACAGTAGAAGACTGAGCATGTCTGGAAAGACTCCACCCAGAGACCAGCCTGCTTATTAATATGTCTAATAAATGATGTCACCATGGATCTAAAGTGTATAAAATGGCTTAGTTTTGCACTTGCAAGTGGAGTAAGTTTGTCCAGCGCAAGCTGGCTCGCTCCCAACGTTAAATGAACAAATACCTTGCTGCTTAAAGAGAAATAAATGTCTCTGAGCAGTCTTTCGGACTGAGTTTCACAGATTCAGCTCTGCAGATCCGGATGAAGATCCAGCTCCTGGAGAACAGCTCCTGCCCTCGTTTTTCCCTGCTTGTTTTACACAGCACCGACAAAGGAGCTCGGTATCAGATCTGCGTTTAGAGGGATCTGTTCTCTTATCTTATCCCCTTGTTCCCGTGTCAAGGAATTCAAAGCAAGGCATGGGGAAAATAATGATTCCCTCACACTTCTTGGTTTTTGGTTTTGGGGTTTTTTTTCCAATATAAATGAGGCTCCTACGTCATTTTTACTTCTGTGTTTACATTAAAATCATGGATTTGGGGAACTACAGAGTCAAACAGCACAGCATCAAATGGGTACCAGCTGTAGGACTCTGGCTGCTGCTTGTTCAGGGGAGGAATAAATCAATAAATCAGCAGAATCACGTGGAAAGAAAAGGAAAGGGAAAGGGAAATAGGAAGGGAAATGGAAATGGAAAGGGAAAGGGAAAGGAAAAGGAAATGGGAAGGGGAAAGGAAAAGGAAATGGGAAGGGGAAAGGAAAAGGAAA